TAAGTCATTGCCCCAGAGTGGTACGATTCCTGGTGACTTTTATTTCCCCCTTTTTTGGTATCGGTAACGTCCAATTTTACCATAATTATTATATCGGGTACATTTTAAATTCTTTAAATGCAAATATCATCATGTCATTCCTGGGCTTAAATGTCTTCACTTAAAAACAAAGTGACAACAATTTTATGATGAGATTGGTCAGAGCATCAAGCACAAGCTGTCCTCTGCCGTGAGGCCTCTAGCTGATAATCGAGGGGCAAGAACACAGGTGGGAGAAGGTGTCTCTTTCCCTGCTCGCGCTCGTCTCCTCTCAGGCTGAGCTTCTGCCCTGCGAACGTCTCTGCTGGAAGTTCAGGCTCTCTGAGGAGCAACAGCAACCGTGTTAGCAGAGGATGGGGGCCTTCTAAAGTCCTTCTTCCCTGTACAACATTGTGCCTATCGACAATACGTATTGTACTCTTCACAACCGAGAAGAGGGTAGATCTCACGTTCAGCGTTCTTACCACAATGAAATTTAAATTTTTTTTTAACTTAAAAAAAGTTGTTCTTCCTCCATTAGTTTTCTCAGGCTTTTGTTTAGGATGTAACTATGACTTGGAATAGCTCCCAGTATTTAGATATGCACTCGGGGAGGACCCCTCTGTTGCACAGGGCCTGGAACAGAAGGCAGCACTGAGTAGCGCTGAGACCAGTAGGGGGCTGGGAAGCCCTTTCTTCTCACACAGGCTTTGTCGCGATGACTGTGCGCTGTGAACAGGGGGACTCGAGTCTTTGGAGATCACGCAGCTTTCTCACCCCTCCTGTGGCAAAGGGTCTCTGATACATTTGTTGCTCTGCATATGCAGTTCTCCCCTCCTGGAACACCATTCTTCCCCTCCTCCCATCAGTTAAGACTCAGCACAGTTGCCCCCTTCTTCTAGAGCTTTCCTTGACTCCTCCTAGCCGAGTCTGGGTAAAGGGCTTGTTCTATATATTTTATTAGCATCATGTCTTGCCTTTCCCTTTGAATTCCTTTTAATCACTTTGCATTCCTTACAGAGTCTACTTATGGTCTGTCCTACCAGACTCCAAACTCCTTGAGGATTAGGATGATGTTTTTATCTGTTTACCCTCAGTAGCTAACGTGCCATACTGAAGTGTTCGATAAATGCTGATTAAATAAATTAATGACTAAATAAATGATGAATGGATGAAAGGAAAGGATGCAGGGAGCTCATGCTAAAAGCCAAATGAGGCTGTGACAAGTGTCTTAGGAGAGGAAGCGTAGATAGCACATACTATCCACATCCTGAACAAAAGCCTGAGAAAACTAAGGAGAGGAAGAATGACTTTTAGAAGTCCCCCATCCTCTGCTAACACGGTTGCTGTTGCTCCTCAGAGAGCCTGAACTTCCACCAGAGCCATTCACAGAGCAGAAGCTCAGCCCGAGAGGAGAGGAATGGGCAGAGAAAAAGACATCTTCTCCCACCTGTGTTCCTGCTGCCCTTGATTATCAGTTAGAGACTTCATGGCAGAGGTTAGCCTGTGCTTACTTCTCTGACCATTCTCATCATAAAATTGTTGTCACTAGTACACAGTCCCCACAACAATCCTCTGTCTAATTATGTCCAAGATTAGCACCTAAAAATCCAAAATAGCCTCTGACGTGACTTTCTATTTACAGAAGGGCACATGGGATGCATTAACAACACCCTCACTAGATCCTTGTACACTGTGGACAGGCCCAACAACCAAGTGCTGAAGGGGGTGGGCAGGCCTGATATTTATCCGCTGATAACTACACCGAGGGACTCACAAGGGAATTCAAGAACCTTCTTTTGATAAAGCCTCCAAACCACCGGATCTGCTGCTGCCAGAATTAAAAATAGCTTGGTCTAGTTGGCAAAGTATTAGCCTGGGAGTCAGAAGGTGTGGGGCCCTCATTCTGGTGTAGTGACCTTAACCTCTTGGCCTCTCTGAAAATCAGTGCTCTCTTCTGTGCATTGAGGATGATAGAGAACCACTCCTTTCACCATGGGGTGGGTGGGAGTCCCAAAGGGGATAATGGACATGAAAGTATCTGGTGAATGCCCAGCTCCAACCTCAAGAGAGGGGGAGGCGGAAGGTAGTGATAAGAAAGCAGCCATACTGAAGACACTCCCCAGTTGTAGTTTTAGCAAAAATAAAATCCTCCCACACTCAGGCCTTTGATGGTCTGGGAGTGGCCCTTTGGTGAGGAGATGATTCCCTTTGTTCTACTGCCTTCTAACTTGCTGTAAAATAGTCAGCCACACTCTCTCCTTGCCTACCTGCCCTATTACCTATGATCCGTGACTGCCTCATTTACGGTTAATACAGGAAAGGCCAAGTAGCAGCCAGAAATGTGAAGAGCTGTTCTCAGCAAGTAGGAGGTTACTCAAGCCACAGGATAAATAAGCGTGGTTATTTTTCTTCTTTAAAAATAGTTATTCTGATCTTTTTTAAGACTTTAAAATACAGTATAGTGAAGTCGTATATATTGAGCACTGACTATATGACAACCTGTGTTAACACTTTCTTTATACTATTTCATTCACTATTCATAATTACTCAGTGAAAGGCATCATTATCCCTATTTTACACATGAGGAAATTAACATTCAGAGAGACTAAGTTATGTGTCAAGCTCCTAGAACTTCTATAAACAGACCTAGGATTTGAACCCTATTTTATTTCATACAAAACCCATACTCCTGCATATTATGCTGTTTTGCCTCAAAAATAAAAATAGTATCTGCAAAAACAAGATGAGGAGGAAGAGTTGGAAGCATATATGTAATCACAAATAAAAAGTCCATAGGTCTTAGACAAATACACTCCTACCCCCACTGCTCAGGCCTCTCACAGAACCTGAACATCGTCTGGTGAGCAGGGAGAAGAGGACCTGGGTCAAATAAAAAGTGAGTGATTAATTGACAGTTAATGAAGAACAGGACATAATCCTTCAGAAAACATAGGTGAACAGTTTTTGTGTACTGAAGAGGTCTATATCTGAAGTCAGAATATGATGTATACATTTATTATTATTATTACAATTATTAATTATTATTACTTAAAGTTCTTTTAAAGGGAGGGTGGGACAGGATAATCAAGCATCATTTTTTCATCTTCAGAGTCTGGCCATCCTGTCTCCCAGTATAAGTCTCATGAAGAACCAACCAAACTGAAAATACATTTTTAACTTCTTTCAATTAATTTAGTGGGCTAACCAGTTTACGTGGAAGAAGATGATCATAATTTATTTTATTTTTTATTTTGTTTTATTTTTTGGTGAGGAAGATTAGCCCTGAGCTAACATCTGCCAATCCTCCTCTTTTTGCTGAGGAAGATCGGCCATGGGCTAACAACCGTGGCCATCTTCCTCTACTTTATATGTGGGACGCTGCCACAGCATGGCTTGATAAGTGGTGCATATGTCCACCCCGGGATCTGAACCTGCAAACTCTGGGCCACGGAAGCAGAGCGTGCAAACTTAACCACTACACCACTGGGCCAGCCACAGATGATCATAATTTAGCTTACAGGTTCATTGCAATACCATTTTCACATCTTAAAATGAAAACATTACAAATACTTTGGGATATTTGAGAATTTTTTGCTTCTTCCAGCTTTGGCTCTTTTGTATCATACATACCATTTGATCATATAAAATCAATCACCTTAGCATCAGACTTACCTGGGTACTAGTAGTCCTTTTACCATGTACCCATTACCAAATGTGTATGACAATACATACCTCATGGGGTTATAGTGAAGATGAAGTTAAATGAGATAATTTATGCAAATTTTTTGGCACATAGGAGGTACTCAAAATATGGGAGTGCCACCTCCCCTACCTCTGAATTTGTGGCCTTTATATTTTGAGTTTCAGTGTGGTGTAGATGTGAAAGTTAGTTTGGAACCCAGTAAGTTCCGGGTTCAAATCTCAGCTCAGCTTTCTACCAGCTGTGTGACCTTGGGCAAATGTCCTAGTCTCTTGGAACCTCCCTTTTATCTTCTGTAAAAAGGAAATAGTAGCCCTATTTTGCAGGAATGCTGTGAGGTTTACAAGTAACATATGCAAAGTATCTGACATATGGTAGGTGCAAAATAAATGGCTGTTTTGCTTATCCTTAGATGAAATGACTTTTGTCCTATAAAATAGAGCTAATGATTAGGTTTTATGAAAATGCCTTTTTGCATGATTGTGGATGATTTCAAATACCTAGAAACTTACTTGGGTGTCATGTTATAGTTGTCTCATCTAATCCTCTTTAAGCTATGTTTGAGTCTTGTGGGAATGTTTAAAGTTCCATTATGAAGCCAATGTAAGCAAAAGTGTCTATCAGCCATAGTGGCCACCGACTCCTCCCCGGGGGTGCCCGGGGTAATTGTAGGCCGACTTTGCCCTGAAGTCTTGGAAAGGTTACATGACTCAGACAGATGTAGTAGGCATGAGATTACAGGCCAAGAGGAAGAGGTCAGGGCTGTGGCAGTATATTGGACAGGCTCATACACTGCAAGCCTTGTTCGGGGCCCCTTACAAAGCACCTCTTTAGGACGAAAACAAGATGTTCTTTGTAAATAAAAGTTCATGCATTTGAGTAATGAAGTCATTTTCCAGCGCTGCAGTGCAAGATATTCTTCTCCCAAGCCCTCTGAGTGAGGACTGTCGGGCGGAAGAGGGGCGCCCAGCTAGTCTCAAAAGAAGATATTAGCACAAAGAGTACAGCGCACCGTCTCTAGAAAATGAGAAGCCTTGCTCAGAAAAGTGGGTGCCCTCCTCTTCTGCCATCTCAGATCATCTACTTCTGGCTCCCGCCCCTGCAATCCCTTTTCCACCCACTTTCCTGCAAACCAGCGGGGCCACAACAAAGACCTATATAAATATAGATAAGACATCCGGCACCTTGGCTAAATAAATAAGAGATGTGAGGAAGCAATCACAAAAGCTGAATATTCATCTGGGGCCCTTGGAGGGGCTCCAAACTGAGAGGGGAGGGGAGGCCCCAAGGAAAGGCTGGCCTCCTGTCTGAAAGGCCAACTTAGAGTGGGAGGGCCTGGAAGTGGAAGGTAAAAAGGGAGTGGTGAGAATGGGTGTGGGAAGGAAGCCAGGACAGCGCAGCCCTCAGTCCCGACACGCTGGGGACAGGAGGTGGCCAGCGCTGTGGGGCTGGCCCCAGCCGGGTCTGCCTTTCGATGCTCAGCTTTAAGCTCCATCTTTTCTAAATTCTTCAGCCAGGGCCTCTGGGGAGAAAGAGAGAAAGCGAGCAGAGGGGAAGAGAGTAAGAGGAGAGAGAAAGAGAGGGAGAAAGAGAGAGAGTCACTCGCTTACTCTCTCACTCTCCCTTTTTTTACTAAGTTCCTCTTTGGGCTGCCTTGAGTTCCCACATCTGGAAACCGCAAACGCAGAGAAGGTCAAATAAACGAGGCCCCGCCGCATCACGGGGTGGGGGGGACCGACGAGGACAGACAGTTGCTGAGCCCCTGGAAGAGCCCTGTCGGATGTCAGCGGAGAGATGGCTTTGAGCTCAGCCTGGCACTCAGTCCTGCCTCTGTGGCTCCTCTGGGGCGCTGCCTGCTCCGGCGCGGCGTCCGGAGACGACAGCGCTTTTCCTTTTGACATTGAAGGGAGCTCAGCGATCGGCAGACAAGACCCGCCTGAAACGAGCGTGCCCCGCGTGGCTCCCGGAAGCCTGCCGCCTGCTGCCAAGGTACAGTGTCCCTGCCATTGTCACCCTGCTGGGCCATCTGCGCCCCGCGGGCTGTGTGTGCCACCCTCGTGTCCCTCTCTCTCCCCTGCCTGCCTTGAGAGTTTCACGTGGATCAGGTCAGTTCAGAAACTTGAAATAAAAAGTTTTACTTTGTAACGTTGTTAGTCGAGAGTTGAGGCTTTAAAACGTGTCACTGTTCAAACTAGCAAAAATGCATGTGTTCTGTGTACTCCAAGTCAGTGCTAGACTCTCACCTGGGGCTGCAGTGGCAGGTCTGTGACTTTGTGCCACTTGTATGTCCCAGTAGAGTCACCTTTGTCAAGCCACAGCACTTAATGCTTGTGCTCTGTTACTGACTTCCTGCTCCTCTGTGATGATGTTAGGAGAGTGGGAACAAGACTACAGGACCAATTCTTTTGTCACAAATAAAACAGAAGGCCCTCTTGGACAGGGAGGAGAGAGGGGGTGGATGAGGGTGATGGGGCTCTAAAGAAACTGTTACCAAACCGCAGAGCAGATAGCTTAAGTAGACACGAGTCATTATATTACAGAAACAAGAAGTTACGACGAAAATCAAGCCCCATCTCAAAAGTAAAAATGATCGGGATATGCTATTGATGATATGTTTATTTAAAGAGCTGCTGTTTGAATACGTTACCGTAGCTTCTATGTTGAAAGCATAACCAAAGTTTAGAAATTGGGTAAAGGAGGATGAATCCAGAGTGAGTGATTTAACAGCCCCCTGAGCCAAGACAGACAACAGTGTGTCCAGTGCGTGGGAGATGCTAAGTAGGAGGAAAACGAAGTCACCTAAGTTCATGGGAAAGGAAGGAGCAATTAACCTAACAACACACACACACACACACCCATCCACCCTATAGCTATGGTTACAGCAACTATAGAACCAAAGTAGTGATGTGGATTGACACCATTTCTGACAGCACTGAAGTCTGGATTATTGCCATTAATTCTACTAACTGTTAGTATAACTGTACTTATTTATTATTATTGATAAAATAAGGTGCATGAAGATGGTCCTTCTCCAGGAGTGAGCCCTACTCACGCCCAAAAAAAGGAGGAGGGTAGGTAGGGCCAGAGCATCCCAACCTCTATTGTGGTGCAAAATGTAACCTCCAGAAGAAAGAGAGGGCATGGCTTCTGGTCAACTTCATGCTCAATCATGGAGAGAAGCCAGAACAGGAGAGACTCCGCGCTATGGGAAGGCATCGCTTCTCTACAGGCTTGGAATTAATCCCCGGGAAGCATTATCTCCACCTGTTGCTTTGAGCATGGAAAGTCCCTGAATGAAATGCTTGACTTAAGATAGAGTTGCCAGATAAAATACAAGATGCCCAACTGAATTTGAATTTCAGGTAAACAACAAATAAATTTTTGTTTATGTCTCCAGTATTGCATGGGATGTATTTATATTAAAAAATTATTGATTGTCTATCTGAAATTTACATTTATCTGGGCATCCTGTATTTTTATCTGCTAATTCTGAAAAGATAGGCACACACGTTTTTGTAACTCATCCCACAAAAAGTAAGAAAGTAATTATTTGATTTTTAGGGAACCTTAAACTTATTGTCGAGACCTTGAACAATTTCTTATAAACTTATCTATTCAGTGAAATAATAGGAAGGGGGCACAGCAGAGTGTTTTAGATTGCAGGCTTTGCAGTCTGATGGTCCCAAGTTCAAATTTCAGCTTATCTACTCCTTACCTTGGGCAAATTATAGATGCTCAAATTGCAGGTAAAGAAACTGAAGCTTAGAGAAGTTATTGATGTCACTTCATACTTCATACAGTTATTGTGATGAAAATAGATAAAATATAGAGAAAGAGTGCTTAACAGGGTGCCTAACAGAGTATAAATGCCTTATACATCCTACTTGTTGTTATGATGATTATAAAATGCGTGGATGATTGGATTAAAGGAAACCCTTATTTGGGAATACTTCCCAGAACTTTCTTTTTATGGTGCTATTTTACTTAATATTGCTATATCTCTGTCTATATCCTCCCCACAGAAAGAGTGTCCTATAGTGGGTTAAATCTGTAGTACTGTCAGGGTCTAATAGGTTCAGAATGTCGGTTGAGGCTTTTGGTTTAGGGAAACAGAAAGAAGCTATTAGTCATTCCGGGAGGCTCAAAGTATATGATGTAGAAAGGGTGGGATTGGGGTAATTATGCTCCCACCACATGGTTTCACATGATGCCTCCAGAGCCTGAGGTCCCACAGCGAACCCCACCTCCCACCATGCGGGTTTCCCATGCTCTTCATAGCCAGTTAGGAGACCTTAGACCAAATACATTCCAGAGACTTAATAACATGGTACAACCACCCTACTGAATTGGTTCAGGAGATTACATTTACATCTAGAGAGAGAGAGAGAAAGAGACCATGGACACATACAATAAATTATTCATGGGATGTTCGAGATGTGGATGAGAAGATATTCTAAAAATACATTCATTTTATTTGAATTAGATTTATATGAATGGTTATCCCTCGATTCTCCTTCAAAGGGAATGACGAAGAATACTAAGGCGAGCGTGGAGCAGTGGGAGGCGCTTGGCTGACGGCCCTCCCAAGGCTCTCTGGAGCTCCTCCCTGGCAAGCCTTGTGTCCTCTCACCCCTGGGTCCTCCGCCCTCAACACGGACTCTGGCACCCTGTGGTGCACAGTGTGAGTTAGGGGAACAAATATATGAACTACACACTGAATACAAGGATGGAGAGCGCTGGCTGACCAAGCAGAAAGGCTCCTCCTATCCTTCTAAAACAAACGCAAGCATCCCCCAGGAGACAAAGAATTTGAAGAGGAGCACCGACGAGTAACTCTGTGCTAATTGCTAGGATTTTCCCACCTTCTGCTTTTTTACAAGCAATTTACTGAGTCCGTTATTGCTGAGTTGATGGAGAAAGCAATGATTCTCAGTAGATGGGTGTGGGCAAAGGGGAGACCTTTATAAGCACATAAAAACCTTTATAACACCTTTAGAAGTATATTCAGTATTCTAATATTTCATATTTAAGAAAAGAAAGTCTCAATTTCATCATACACACTGTAGCAAGTAAAACTAGACAAAAGTCTTCTTGACCAGTATGGATATGCAAAAGAACTAGAGGGGATGCAGGGATGAAGACAACAACAGTCCCCAAAGAAAGGGTGTCAGAGTGTCCTTGGAAAGAGTGACTTCTTGTCTACCAAAAGGAAGCAGGAGTTAAGAAGGTCAAGAACACTAGGTTAGGGGCCAGCCCTGTGGTGTAGTGGTTAAGTTCGTGTGCTCCGCTTCAGCAGCCTGGGGTTCGCAGGTTCAGATCCCGGGTGCAGACCTATGCACCACTCATCAAACCATGCTGTGGCAGTGTCCCATATACAAAATGGAGGAAGATTGGCACAGATGTTAGCTCAGGTAAATCTTCCTCAGCAAAAAAATAAATAAATAAAAATCAAATCAAATAAATTAAAAAAAAAAAAGAACACTACGTTAGAGGTTGACACCACATGATTGGAAAGAAGCCACACAGAGACTTAGAGGAGAGTGGGGGGCTCTGCTGGAAGAGCATAGTGGGAGGCGGTGGAGGGGGACAGTGCTGTTACTGCCTTTGGTAGATAATTGAGAAAATAAGGGAAATAATTGACAATATTGAGCAAACTTCTCTGAGAGGGGAAAACAGGAATTTATCTTCTGGTAACCTGACTGGGTTTTGCTGTTGTTATTATTATTGTTAGCTTCCCTCCAAGAAAATCAGTGCCCCGCAATCCACATGTGAACATGTACCTTACACTGGACAAACTTACTTGCTAAAAAATGCACTATGAACTAGGAGAATTCTGAGGGATTTTTCCTCTAGACTTTTCACTGTTGATATGGGATCCCATGCTCCAACACATAGTTAGGCACCCTGCCACTAAAGGATCGCAGAAAGTTTATTAAAAGACAGTTTTGATCTCTTTTACTATCTTGGTCCCCTTACTTTGAAAAAGGTCCTGTAGAATCACATTAACATCTCCAGTCACCGGCCTGGGCCGTCAAACCCCCTACATGTTGTCATTATTTCATTCACTGAATATTCATCCAATGAGCACATTTGGAGCTCTACCATGTACTGAACAATAAAGTGGGCACCAGGAGGGATAGAAAGAAGGCAGAGTCACACCTCTATCCTCGATGAGTAAGCAATCTAAGAAAAAAAGTATATACATAGTCACTACATAGAGAAGAATGAATTAATGTTCTGTAAGAGTAGCTACAAGCTAAGTGCTATGGGGGCAATGTGGAAAAAGTATTACTCCTGAGCTAGGCCAGTAGGGCACAATTACCTACTCACCAAACACCAAAGGATGTTCCTGGGAAACATATTTTAGAACTGGAATACAGTAGTGGTAGTAGTAATAATAATAGCATGGTTTGTAGCTAATGCTCATTGAGTATTAACCATGTGCCAGACACTGGTCTAAGCACTGTCCATGAGTTATTTTCTTTAACCTTCATGACAGCTCAATAGGACTGGTTATTATCTCATTTTGTAAACATGGAAACTGAGGCACAAAGCATTTACCCCAGGCACTCTGCCTGGTAAGTGGCACAGCAAGGAAGGAGTTGATGAACGTAATGCCACATGCAGATGTATCTAGGAAAAGGTGGTTAGGTAAATAGCACTATCTGTAGGCATAATTTCAGTCAAAGTTTTGGGGATTTCTTAAAATGAAAATACAAAAAAGGCTATTCAAAGACCATGTATGCAGTGCTTGCTAGATGAGTAGCATAAGTTGCATAAAATCTTAGGATTACCAAAGAATTGAGAGAGAGAACTTTCTTTCCCCGCCCAGTCTAATAACTACTTTTTAAACTACTCATATAAAAAAGAAAAAAACTAATACTTACTGACTTCTACTGTGTCCCATTAATCTGCATCTATTATCTTATTTAATACTCAATGGTGAAAATTATGCCCGTTTTACAGATGAGCCAATTGATGTTTGGAGA